ATAGCATTACCTTTCTCATGCCTAATCAATAATTCATTCATTCGAGTCGTTTTTATTTTCTTAGGAGTAATTTGTGTGTAACTCGATATAAGTAAATACTGTTAGTGAAGTATCATCTCTCTTTCTCTCATTACAAACAAATCCACTGACCTGCATTTGACACGTGCATAAACACAAATGAATGTTTTTGGAAACTTTGAATGTGGTTGTTTCTAAAGTGTTATAACAAGCTATGTTTTCTTCTGGTCTTTCTCTCTCAGCATGGTATCTGGCCGGGTGAGGCGGTGTTGATGATGCTGGATGACGTGGAGCTGCAGTGGAAGCGGGGTCACCTGTCACACCTGCAGTCTGCCTTGGAGATGCTCATAGGGGTCGTGCTTGGGGAACATCTGGACAAGGTTGTGATGCCTCTAGAAACATAAACAAAATTCAAAGACTTTCCATAAATTCAAAAATAAATTACATTTTTTATTTATTGAATAACCAGCACCACTGACATTAAGCACATCTGTGTTTTTGTAGGAACTCATTCCAAGACTGTGGCTGGTACAAAAACAAAAGACCAAGAAGATCGGTGAGAAGGCAATGACATTAATGTCCAAGAATTGATTTTGAAGGATAGTTAACTACAGATGCTGTTAGTGATTTCTGCTCCAATAGTGGCACCATTGGGAATTTCAAAAAAGAAATACCAGATAGTCTGGTATTTTCTTGAATATATTTTATACAATATATTCCAAAAATCACATACAGCAGTTTTATTAGTTTAGACATGAAGTTGTTTATGATCAATGTGTCTTGAATCGGCTTTCTGATAATCTCTCTTTCTATCGCTGATCTTCTTTAGATTGCACTGGCTACATTCCACACATAGGTGAGAGATTATAGGTTCATCATTCAAATAATAAATAATTTAATGCCATTTAAATGCATTGACATTCAGCAGCTATAGTCATCAAGGCTGTCAAAGCAATAGTTTCTTTTATTTCTATTATTTATGTAGTAACACGGAAATGTTGCTTTTCTTTTCAGTGTGGAACTGGATATGTGATGCTGCAGGTATGTGTCACAGTATATATATACAAACACACACTCACACAAACACACGTTTACTTAGCTATCTAAATGGGGACATTACATAGACTTCTATTGTTTTTATATACAGATAGTTATACACTTTTTAACCTAAACCCCTACCCCTAACCCTACCCCTCACAGAAAACTTTCTGCATTTTTACAATTTAAAAAAAACGGTTTACTTTATTTTTATACATGAGGACGTCCCCAAATAGAGGTTTTTGGCAATTTTGTCAGGTTTTGCTCTCACTTTTGGGTACACATTTGTCCCCAATATATGATTAAGTAGGTACACACACACACACACACACACACACACATATATATATATATATATATATATACTGTATATACACTCATTCTAAAGTCTGATCAAAAATACAGTAAAACAGTATTATTATTAAAATATTTTTACATTGTTTTATATTTGAATATATAGTAAAATGTAATTTATTCCTGTGATGCAAAGCTGAATTTTCAACATCATTACTCCAGTCTTCAGCGTCACATAAATCATTATAATAATAATATTTTGTAGAAACCTTGATGCTTTTTTTTATAGGATTCTTTGATTAATGAAAAATTCAAAAGAACAGCATTTATTTAAAATATAATTTTTTTGTAATATTATAAATGTCCTTAATATTACTTTTCACTAATGTAACTTATCCTTGAGGTTTTAAGATAATTAATCATTTTATTATATATACATCTATATATATAATCAATCAAACAAATGAGACAAAAATATTTTCTTTGTCATTTGTTTATTCAGGAAAATTATCCAATATTACATATCTGTGAGTGGTAAAAGTATGTGAATCTCTAGGATTAAATGTTAATTTGAAAGTGAAATTCGAGTCCATCTGTTCCGAGCTGTTTTCAATCCGTGTCATTGCCTGCCCTGTTTTATTTAGAGAAAGGATCTATAGGATCTAAGTCTGATCATGTTTGTGCAAGTGAATCATGGCACAAACAAAGGAGATCTCTGAAGACCTCAGAAAAAGAGCTGCTGTTGCTCATCAGGCTAGAAAAGGTTACAAAACCATCTCTAAAGAGTTTGGACTCCACAAATCCACAGTCAGACAGATTGTGTACAAATGGAGAAGTGGTCGACCAACAAAGATCACTCCAAAAGCAAGACGTGTAATGGTCTGCGAGGTTGCAAAGGACCCCAGGGTAACTTTTAAGTAACTAAAGGCCTTTCTCTCACTGGTAATATTAATGTTCACAAGTCCACCATCACATTTCTGTCATGACAACTCTCGGATGGATTGGCATGGTAATATACATGACAATGTTAATGTATTTGGTCTTGGCGGAATAGATCTGCTACGCTGCTGCTGCTGCTGCAGCAGAGCAAGTACTGAGACTTGCTACTGCCAATACATCCACAACATGCTGCTGTGAGGATGTTAGAAATATTGATGCTGCAAATATGACATACATGAAAGAACCCCCATATAGCATACATGAATCACCTCGTAGCAGATCTATACAGGTGGAGCTGGGGAAGGTGGGGGGTTTCTGAAGCAAGCTGCAACTGCTACTGCAAGCACTAGTCATATATTTGAATGTAGCGAGCTCATTGGCTACCGATACAGGAGAGAACCAATCAGCTGTGCCATGTGATAATGATGTCATTAGGTCAGATTGAGTTAGACCTATCGGACTGTGCCATCTAGAGTTTCATGCCAGAACTCTGTGTACATATACAGTATCTCACAGAAGTGAGTACACCCCTCACATTTTTGTAAATATTTTATATCTTTTCATGTGACAACACTGAAGAAATTACACTTTGCTACAATGTAAAGTAGTGAGTGTACAGCTTGTATAACAGTGTAAATTTGCTGTCCCCTCAAAATAACTCCACACACAGCCATTCATGTCTAAACCGCTGGCCACAAAAGTGAGTACACCCCTAAGTGAAAATGTCCAAATTGGGCCCAAAGTGTCAATATTTTGTGCGCCCACCATTATTTTCCAGCACTGCCTTAACCCTCTTGGACATGGAGTTCACCAGAGCTTCACAGGTTGCCACTGGAGTCCTCTTCCACTCCTCCATGACGACATCACAG